GCTCGGATCAAGGTGTAGTCGATTCCGAACAATGGTTCGTTCCCGCTAGCAACAAGTCTAGCCTTGTATCTATCAATATTTCCATCGGATCGGTATTGCCCTTAAAAACCCACTTGTTTTGTAAAACTTGAGCTTTTTTTTGCTGAACAACAACCTTTCACACACCGTCTTCTTACGGAACTTTCACTTCTTTCTTGATGTCCACGGGCCCACTTGTCATTGATGCCACTTCGCATAGCCTCACCGTAATTTTGGGGAAAATCTCTCGAATTAGTTCTATTCCGTACGACCCAACAAAGTTCCTAAATAATTCTTATCGGACCGCAATAGCATGGTGCCAACTTTGACTTCACTTCGTGAAACGTCTTGTTAAGCCCGTCTCTATCATGTAGTATGTGGATCTGGATGTCATATTGACGATCGTGCTTTTTTCTGGCTTACGAAATCCTTGTTGTCGCGCCCATCCTGACCGTCGGCACCTAGTTGATTCTTTAACATATATAGTTATTGTGTGCCGGCCAAAGTTTCAACATGATTTATATGCTCATTCATCACCACATCACGCTCCATCGGTATAAAACCCAGGTATCCACTAATCTCTCCATTCTTGACGATGATGATGGCCGGTTTCACTAGAGCACCCAGCGACTTTTTGAAGTCGTTCGATGTATGGTGAAGAGGATGTCAAAGGCTAGAATTTCACTAATAACGGGTCTCTTTTTTCTTATCACCTCGATAGGTGAGATAACACCTTTGTTTGCTTTGTTGGGGCTCGGTTGAGGACGTATACTGCAAATTCTGCAGCATAACCCCGGAACGTCAAAGGCAATACACCCAGAAAAATCATGCTCCGCACCACATTCATGATTGAGCGGTGCATTCGTTAGGTAGGATCTACCATAGCTATATTGGCTGTCACGCTCGCAAACTTGACGTGGGACATAAACTTATTTAAAAAAACCTCTAAAGGCTTGTATTTGCCTCCACCGTCGGTAAGTATAGCGTGTGCATAGCAACCAAAGTGAAGCTCAAAAGTCAAAAATTTGAAGTGCATTGCAGCGTCATTCTTGGCTTTTGCTAGGAACGCATGGCAAAAGTTCGATTGATGGTCGATAATATTGACTAAAAATTGATTGCCGAGCCGATTACGAAGGGTCATTGGACCTTTCAGGTCCGAACATACCACGTCCCCGATCACGTCAATGAGTGAATTTACAATAATGTTCATTGGCGATTGTTTTTTTCGTCGTCTGCTTTTCGTGTGCACAGGTCAAGCAGTTGAAGTGCTTGGTATTAGTTAGATTGATAGCAGAGACGGGGTTACGAGCCATATTCATGATAGTGTCGTAAGATAGTTGACCCATACACCGAAGGAAGTCGAACAAAGATGTGTCGTAGACATCGGTATTTAATTATTCGTCATGGCTACGAAGCTCGTCGTGATTGTGTCCATCAATGATCTGAATCCACGAAAATCATCCATCGTACTACCTTATAAAAACCCAACAATCAACACATCATTGATGCGGTCTACATCCATAATCTGTGCACCACTAGGATGCGATACCATGCCACGCCTACATTTACAATTTTAAAGTACGCATATCTGCTTGTACAGACTTTCGAAGGAATGATGAAACGCTCCAAATTAGGGTGCGAACTAAATATCGAGAATTCAAATGTTTGTAGTGAATCTAAAAGCTTTTACCCGGATCACCACGCTCCCGTGCTTTGTAATCTGGAGCGGTCCACTGTTCGAATATGACGTAAAACAGTCGATGTTAATCTCTACCGCATCATCCCGCAAGTCTTTAGTCGTTAACGAGGTGACGACCTGATCCACTGTCTAACACCCAGTGGCTTGGTGAGGCTGTGCGGTCTCCTTGCACGGCCATGGCAAATTTTGCATCTTCTTTTTTTTTGATCTTCTTTAGGCAATTTATCCTGGATTTATAGGCGCTACCACACTAATTACAACGTTTCTATCCATAAAAGTCGCGCGCCTTTTAAGATTCTCGGTCTTTATGGTCGTGCGCATTATAGGGTCGGCCTAATGAACGATGTTATCCAGAACGGGATTTTCTGCGCCTCCAAACGGGTCGTTGGCGGCATTGAAGTACAAGAAGTGGTCCGTCCAGCTTCGCTGAGGTGACTTAACCACAGTAAACAACCTCATGATCTGAGCAGGAGTAATCTTGGAGCTGGAAGATTAAGGCATCCGCTGCATGGCATGCTTTTAAGTTTGAATATCGAACCCACAAGTTTTCACCTGCCAGCAGTAATAATTATGCGCCGTGCCAGCGAGTTGTTGCCCGAGTACGTCAACCTTGATGTCTTCGGGCCACGAAAATCTGCACTACGCTTGGAGAAACGAATCTGTCGAACAAAGTTGGTTCTTTATATAAGGCAGCCGCAACCGTGTTTATGGTACAGTTCCGTTCTGTCAAAAGGTTGCAGTTCCATCTTCCTTTGACGTGCATCCGGTACGCCTATGCGTACTAATCCGCGTTGTTGACACAAGACCCGGTACTTGCATTCCAGGGTATATTTTGCGGGTATGTCTTGCGCTAAAAACCCTAACTCATTTTATTTAGGCCTCTCATGGTTGACCCCGGACTAAGCCGGCGTGCCCACTATGTAATCCCCAGCAATTGCTGGTCGACTGTCACTGAAATCGGTAGACGGCGAGATTTTCGGCGAACGTTTAGGTGTCGGCGTATACTTCAATGCCTGGAGTTTCATACCCGCCCCTGAACTGAGGACCGAGCCAAAGACGATGGACTCCGGTAGGTCCCTGCGTCGGTATTCCACTTGACTTCGTTGAAAGAATTCTTTACTTTTATTCGTTCCGTCAAGTCACCGACCATCACGAGCATCTATTCCAGTGCCACCGTGGACAAAGCCCAGTATCCTTCCATTTTTGGGTCGTATGTCGAAACAGACCCGCGACTAGACAGCAGAAATTGGATTCATAGGCAGAGCCGCCAACAAGCTCCGCTTGGCTCATATACTGTTCAATATATTGTTGTAGTTACACTTGTGCAAAGATAGTAGGAAGTATGATTATAATAAAGCGGGAGTCAACTTCATTGTTTACACTACTCAAAATGACTTCCATCTGCATACTGCAATTTTACCAGGTGAAGTTGCATAACACAGGCCCTGTTGCGAGTTTAGGGATTGACTAATAGTCGTTCATAGGTGTGATGCACGAAAGGTGAAACGAAGTTACACGTCGACTGGATATCGACAATAGTTGTGATGCACACAAGTGATGGGACCCTTTGAAAGGGGGTCAAAAAACCCTGTAACTTTTTTCTGGCCAGATGGAGCGCGCAAATCGACCGCAGCTTTACGTTGGCACCATCTTCGCTAAAGCTGGTATTGAACTCCACACGCGAGTCTGTCTATACTGCAGCAACAGAGGTCACATTGACGTAATCATTCTGACTTTTGTCCAACTGCCTTAGTGAACAAGGCGCTTAACAAGACAAATCGGTCGGAATTGAACATTGCATCGGGGTGCAGAACCTTTTTCATCGCTTTATGAGTGGCAGGCAGCGTGTCGCAGATACGCGCTTTGTGTCAGACATCAGTCCCTCGACTATGGCAGTCGGATGCGCTTTCGTGACGCAACGAGATTTGTGTTAGCAGTTGAGTAGTGCTAGCGGTAGTAAAATGCACTGTTTGTTTTAACGATACGTTTACAGCTGCTTCTCAGTCCCTAATTGTCTCGCCTACCGTCCCATCTTGAGGTTTGCTTAACAAGTGTTTTTCATGCTGCATCAACGCTCAATGATCACGCACGTTTTCTTGATCCTGTCAGGAGACTCCGGAGGGCTACATAGGGTCAGCAAATGAATGCAGATAGTGAGAGCATACCTTCCCTTCAACAGGTCCATCCTCCACGGATTGACTCTGCCTAGCCATTGGACTTGCATGCATGTTGCAATAGGCCAGTTGGGCCATGTCAATCAGACGTATGCGGCGGACATGCAAAACAAGCCCAACGACTGCGCATTTCCTTCGTGACTTCGTTTGGGAGCTGACCAGCCCACTTCTTTTGTTTACCTCGTCAGGTTCCACAGTCCTCCGAAGTTGTGCTGAAGATCGATGTGGTCCCGAGTGGATTCGTTCGAATCACTACCGGAGCGCTTCGTTATCCAAGATTCGACTGTTGTAGTCGAGTTACTAGGTAGGTATGTTCTCGTCTACCCAAGCATATGTGTAAGAGTATACATGGATGTATACATTGCTCCGATAGCAGTCGCATCGTTCGTACGTTACAATTCGTTTCAAGCTTGGCTGCGGTCTCGACCAAAGTCGGCCATAGTGAGACGAGCAAAGACGGTCAGCAACTATGTTTGCGGCAGCTACAACAAGGCGTACCTCCCTCGTATGGAACGGGTGTGATGATGGCTGAGATGTTCTACGAACAACCGACTGCCGGATCAGGAGTAACGTCACACCATCTCTGTACCGCATGTACATGTCACGTAATCAAGTCGGAATGCGCTGCAATCACGCATGTTGTTGACGCACGGACTTCGGACGAGGGCTTGGTTCTGTTACCTCGCATGCGGCCTCGGCTGGGTGCTGGAAGACAAAGGCGGTCATGCATTTGCTCGGAGATTGTCGCTGGACTCGTCCAATTGGCCAAGAAGGATATTCAGATGCACGCAGCGACTTGATCGATCGTGACATGTGGCAGTGCATGCCTTCCGGCTGGAATGGATTGCCAAACAAGCACCGTTTACAGCATCCGTGTGTATGTTGTCGCTAAAGCTCATTTGCTCTCTTGAAATGATGACTGGCGAACGGCGGCCGCCTTGTACTATCCCCGCCAGATGATGCCCATGCTGGTCGAGGTTTCGTGCTTGCGAGATGGAGTCCATGGGAGTCAAGTATCATGCCGAGGAGCAAGAAAAGTGCCAGTCATGCACATACAAAGAGCACAAACGTTTGGATGCAGACGCGCTGGAAAACAATCTTTTCGCCGTTTAACTGCGGAACGACCGCGAAAACTGCTCGCGAGCCGATGCGAACGCCTGCGAGATATACAGAAACACGTGCCCTATATGAGCAACAGCAGCCGCAATGATCTACTACTTGCTTCTCGCGCTGACTGACCTGTGAGATAGTAAGTTCTGCAACCGGGACTTCGTTGTCGATACCCTGCAGCAAAGGAACAACACGCACAACCAATATCACATCGTCAGCCGGTCGCGGCCACACCAAGTGAAAGGACGACGCGAAAGATGCAAGCTCTTACGCGCATGAGCACGCGGTTCGCGATAGACGGCGTGTCGATTTCTAGGATGATCCTGTTGTCGAGGAGCAAATGGTCGCCTTAGACTTCCCAACGAGTGATTTACATGAATCATCAAAGCACCGCGACAACCTTACCCGCCATCGACGACCTCGTCAAACGTGAGTAGCACCAGCTCAATGTTGTCCAGCATCACGTGGCGATCCATCCGACCCCTACAGTAGCAGCCAACAACAGCATCCGTCAACCACCATGCAAGTGCCAACATGACTGTTGCGGCGAAAGAACAACAGCAACGTACTTGAGCAAATTGCTGACCGTGTCAAAGGCCGCGTCCAGCACCGTCAGGAGGATAAGCTCGTTCTGTATCAACCGGATCGACATCCACATCCACGCATCCGCAGCGTGAGTTACCGGTTGCTTCGACTACTATCAGACGCGTCGCGTCTTTGCATCGCTTACTTCCAGAGCAGATCCGACCACGTGCATTGTCGTGTCGGAGCCACAGCGGTACACGCTCACGACGTTTTCAATTAGGATAATGTCAGCTATGGACCCACAAAACAACGAAACAGAGCGGAAAATAACATCATTTAAGCGACCCAACGTGTGTCAGATCAGCCTCGACCGTCAAGTCCCCAACGCAATGCACACACCTTCTAGACGTGCGTTTGCGTTCTTCGTCTTGGCGTACAGCTTCTTCTCCAGCGCGACCTGTTCCTTCTGCGTTGGGTACGACTTGTCGTAGTACTTGGCACACACGCGATTGCCATCGCTGTCCAAGATGAAGATCGCTCTCACGCTGGGAGACGAAGCCTGCGGAGCGTTCACGGGTCAGCAGCCACAGGGTCAGTACCGTCTGCAATCTATCGCGAACGAGAGACCGCCAGCTGCCACGTCGTGTGCGCAAGTGCGCTGTAAAGACGGTCAGTTCTAATGGCGTCCGCACCTTCGCCATGTCGCTCGTCGCAGAGGCCGAAGAGGTGTGTGCGATGCTTCGATTGCGCGATGTGGGGCGATCTGATTGGCGATAACTCGTCTCGGTCGAGAAAATCGTAAAGAAAAGTTGAATTTCATAGAAGATTATCTAGTGATCACGAAAATATACAAGCTCAGAACAAGTAGATGTATATTTGAAGCACTATTTCATCAGAGTACAGTCGTCCCTACATTTAGCGGGCCAATATTGTGTGTCGATTTTGCCTCCTTACTCATAAAAAACGCTCTTATTTGGAGTGTAACGGAGTTACTTGTCGACTGGAAGTCGACGATAGTTGTGATGCACACACGTGATGGGATCCCATTGAAAGTGGTATCAGAACACCGTATCACTTGTTAAAGACTGATTTCTGCCAACCATTGATTACGAGATCTTGCGAGAGGTACTTATTAGAACATTATTGGCTAGATTAAGTACGTTCTTGTTCTAAGGTGCTCTTTTAGATAAAGAAAATAAAGTTCAGCTCCCATTTTGATCCGAAAGACACGTGCCTCTTTGAGGCGTCTTGTGATTGTTAGAGTAGTTTCGCAACGCCTTGTTAAGGCAGCTACTCCTCGCGCACTCTGTGCATTTAATTCTTTGAATCGTTTGGTCACCCTGGAACAGGGATCGTAAGCTCTCTAAGCTTGTTGACTCTTTGAGTCGGGTTCTCTGAACCTCAAGTTGCTCATTGAGTATTAAAGTCTTCCTCTGACTTAAGGAGCTGTGTTGATCCGCTAAACTTTGGTTGCAATCGGAGTCAATTAACGCCAAAGTCTTTACAACTGACCCTCTGTGAGGATGGAGCAATTCACACCCCTCTCTGAGGCTTAATAGGTCGCGCTTCATAAGCTGGTCGCGGCCGTAGTCTCAGAATATGTGGAGTTTCTAGCTGCAAAAGATCCCGACGTGCTAAGTACACGAGTCAAGACCTTCATGCAGTATGAAACGGCCCTGTTAGGGCAGGTTCAAAACCAAGTAGCGTCGGCTATGCCAACACGCTACGTGGTAATGCCAGACGAAGAGGCTAAGCCTCGTCCCGTTCGGGTGGACGCTAAACATTACTCCGGGAAGGAGGGGGGAAATCTCACCCTCTGGATCCGTCAGATTGAGATGGCCATGAGGTCCGGTCTTATCTCAATTGAGCACCAGCGAGTCTCGATGACTATCCCCAAGCTCGATGGAAGAGCTAGAGAGTGGGCTCTGACGAGTGGCACGTCTGTCGACTTGGCGTTTCCCCCATGGGCTCGATCGAGTTAGACCTAGTGCGAGTATTCTCGCCGATCAACCAGGCTTATCGCGTGCGCTCACGCTTCTTGTCTTTCCTTCAGGGTAAGAATGAGTCAATGGACTATGAACAAGAGTTTAGAACTCTGATGGCTGCTATGCAGTCTGACGCTCTCTCTGAGACAGTCTGTGTGACTGTCTGCATGGAAGGACTTCGTAATGGCGTTGCCAGGACCGAGGTGTTTTAACTCCACCCTTCTACTTTTGAGGAAGCTGTTAGCATCGTTCAGGGTGCTGAACACAACTTCAAGTCGGCCAGAATTGGTTGGAATGGGTACAACCCAAGCTTTGCGAGGGCAACCTCTGCGAGCACCTCGGCTTACTGTAAGCCAGAACCAATGAATATCAGCCACCCTGAAGATGAAGGTGAAGCGGAGCTTCATGTTTCAGAGCAATGACAGGAAGTGAGACGCTGTTACATGTGCGGAAGCACTAAAACTTGCGTCCCGATTGTTCTTTGCGTAAGCAACAGCCGACTCATATGAGTTGAAACACCAGCCCCAAACAGATCTGGTATGGCAAGGGGAAACGTCGACACCCAGTAGGTGCGGGGCGCCCAACTAGGGAAGAGATAGGTTCTGTCACTTCTCTACGAGGTAGAGTGAAACAGGGCTTAGCCCTAAAGAGCTCTGTTCCCATCAGCACAGAGCGTGGATACAAGCCTGGCTAGTTGGTTGCTGAGGCGACAGTGAAGAGCTTTGAGAAGTAGTCGTCGATTTTAATCGATTTGGGAGCATCATGCAATTATGCTCGACGTCTTTATCTTGAGAGAAGCCAGCGACACGCTGAAGCGCTCAAAGGGCATGAGGGTTATTCGAGCACCGTTTGTTTAGCGACTGGTAGTCGCGTCACTGTACCTAAAGTTCCGCTGAACTCAGGTGTGAAGTTTTTGGACTTTGACAGCATTGAACGCTGCCTTGTCCTTGATATGGATTCGAGATATGATCTCACCCTAGGTATGGATTGGCTTGAACGCCATAAGCCATGGAATTTTTGGAGGTCTAAGAACTTAGTCGCAACGCGCAATGTTCCTAGAGAAGACTTGGAGAGTCATGAACCCAACTTTGCTAGGCAACAGAAGCCCTATTGGCGCGAGCCATTGACAGAAGATGTCAACGTGCTGGACATTGGTATGTCCGAGCTACTTAACTTCAATGTCAATGACATTAAGATTGAGAGGAGCTCTTTCACCGTGTGTGAAACGATTCTTACTCGTTGAGTGATACTCGTTGTGATAATGAGTCACTGCATGCTGCAGGCATGATTGGCCTAGGGCCGATGCATCAAGAATGTAGTTTCTCTGATGTGAGTGGGGTGGCACGTAAAATTCCACCAAGAGAGGGCGGCAGCGATAGCACCTCACTGAATGTCGGTATTGACATTGTTGGCGAAAAGACGAAGCATACAGGGCTAGTCCTACATAATTCACTTGAAGTGGTACGTGTAAATTCACTGGGTGAAGTGTTCGAGTGATGTAATTCTTCACCAGAAGTCCAGATGTCGGTCAAGACATGAGCACTCGTATAGAGCGTGCTAAGATAAATAGTAACCACAGGGACCCTACTGTCCCGGCCTCTAGGAGGCGTAAGGTTTCTTTGAGGAAACAATCCCAGCTTCGGGTGGCAACTGGTAAGCGCCCAACGTCTAAGAAGTCAAGAAGTGATAATAATAATAATACACTATATACACTTGTCAATGGGTTGACTGACCAGATTGATGGCAATATTAGACTTGAGACTCTTCCATCCTTCAATAATCGATTTGAGCTAGACGAAATGTCTGACGTCGAATTTAGCCAAGCCTTGCAGGAAGGAGAATTATCCGAGTTAGTAATCATTCGGCCGGATATTGAGTTGAGCTCATCCTCGTTGTTCGACGAGTCTGTCCTTGAGGACACAAAGGTGGCATTGGATGCCCGTAGTGGATCTTCGATCCTTAAGGTTCTACTTGATCCTTTCTATCCTTTAATAAAGGAAATTCAGGACGTGGTGTGTCACAACCCACCGTCCTTCTTACCTCTCGATAGAGGTGTACGTCATAAAATGGACTTGGTTCCTGGAACTAAATACTGCGTAACACGGCAGTAGCCTTTACCGAAGGAACAACGTGACGTCATTGACGACTTCTTCCGTGCAAAGCACGCGGTAGCAATGGTACGTGAGAGAAAATTCCCCCATTCTACACCGACAGTCTGTGTTAAGAAGCCAAATGGGAAGTGGCGCATCGTTCATGCTTACAATAAGCTCAATGCGGCCACCACCCCCGCTCAGACATCAATACCTAGACAGGATATTCTTTAGAACAATATGGTGAAATGTGCTATGTACAGCGCGCTCGACTTGGTCGATAGTTATTACCAACTGCTCATGCGAGAGAGCAATATTCCGCTGACACAGCGGTCAGCACTCCGAGCGGTATGCTCTTGGAGTGGCTTGTTATGCCGCATGGGTTATCAAATGCCTCGGCTACGTTCAATTGTCTTGTGACGCAGTTGTTCCGGCCTCATCGAGGTCATGCACAGACGTACTTCGATGACATCTTTCTCCATAGTCGTGCTATGAACGGTCGGTCGGATGTGGACAATCACATTGACCATTTACGAGCAGTGTTCGATTGCATGCGCGCGAATAAGTTGTATGGCAACGCATCTGAGTGCTTCTTTGGTGCAGGAGAAATTCCCTTTTTGAAATGCTTCAGTGGGAAGCGAGGCCTTAGAGCGGATCCCGCTAAGGTAATTGTCATAGTTGATTGGCCGGTTCCGAAGAACCAAAAGGACTTATGTAAGTGGCTTGGTTTTGCCAATTACTTACAGAAGTACAATGCGAATTACGCAGGTATGGCTAGGCCATTATCCAATCTTCATAAGATGGATGTGGAATTGTGCTGGAATAGCACCGAGCATGATGCTTTTCAAGCAGTAAAGTGGAGTCTCCTTCATGCACCTATTTTGGCTTTACCCGATCCTGATCGAACTTTCAGTGTCGTCTGTGACGCATCTTACTTTGCCATTGGCAGCACCCTGTTATAGACATATTCTGATGGATGGGAACGCGTCATTGCGTTTGAGTCCCGACATCTGAAATCTGCAGAAAAGAACTATCCAGTTCATGAAAAAGAGATACTTGCAATGAAGTATGCTCTCGTCAAATTCAGAGTTCATCTGATTGGCTCTAAGCCGTTTTTGATACATACCGATCATGTGTCACTTTGTACCGCGACTCAGTCGCGTCGCCTGTCGGCCTGTCATTTGGCGTATACGTTCTTCCACACTGGGTGGAGTGAACACATAGCCACGGAGACTCTCAAGGGTTGCAGCAAGTTGCATACGGCGCCGATCGCTCTACTCTCGTTGGATATCAACTCTTGCTGCTCATCGAGCTGATTCGTAATGATTGCATCGCCCACGTTGGGTATTTGATGCTGCGCCGATGGCACGATGTCTTCACCACGATTGGCAAATAGGTTCGGTACAGTATGAGACGTTGTCTCTTGCACTGGTGAGTCGGACATTGTCCTCCATTCGCCATAAACATTGGTATCGCTACCATACTCTACCTCTACATCGATACAGAGGTAAGAAGAAAGAGTCGAGGACTCATTGTGTGGCGATGCCATGGTGTTTCGTGGTTTGAAAACGGTAAAGAAAGTTCACACACACCATCCTCTTTCAGGAAAGAATTCAATCGACGTTT